CTTTCCTGATTTCTTTGTCTCTCACACCTTATATTATTTCTGATTTTAAGGGAGTTACACGATTCCCACTCTTAGCTTCGTGAGAATATTCCAGATGCTTATCCTTACCAACTTATTGTGGCTGTGTGAATAGGTTTGTCATGCATGACTGTTCACCACTGAAATTGTTGCTGCAAATTGAAGTGCACTGTTAGGTCAGATAATTGATTGCCAGCTACAGTGATTCTGATTGTGTTTTACAGAAAATATCCTTCAAATTGACAGGAAATTGATCATTATTCACTTGCGTCTTTAAAAGCCCAAAGGTCTAGGAACAAAGGGATAATTTCTAGATAAAATAATTACAGGACAAGTAACTAATTTTCTTTCTTTTCATTCTCTTAGGGTGATAAGTCTGTCAGAGTTATGCGCTCCTTATTGGCAGCCCAGCAGACATTTGTAGATCGGCTGGTTCATGTAATGAAAGCAGTACAGCGTGAAAGTGGGAATCGTAAGAAAAAGGTAACCAAAGTATTGGAAAACCTATATCTGGCTAGAATTTGACAATGGGAATGTTAGCTTTTAATTAAAAATTCTTAGCATTGATGCTTATAACAGATGTCCATCTTTCTGTAATAATTTTAGTTAACTTTAAACAAACTTTGGTGAGATGTCAATGGGTCAAAGTTCCAAAGTGTTCTAAAAGTTTGTAGATGAAAAACAGAAGAGGCACTAGAGAACACTGGTGGGGTATTTTGGCCAAAGAAAGGTATGAGGATAATTGAATAGCTGATGATGCAAGAGTGAACAAGTTGTGGGGAACATGAGAATGTTAACAGAGGTTACAAGTATGTAAGTATTATGCCAGGATAGATAGCAGAATTTGGTAAGCAGCAAGGTTTCATTTGTTCCAAGACCAACCAGACTATTCTTTTATAAGTAAATGTATTTAGTACAACTTTGCGTTCTGTAGCATTTTGAGGAAAAGGCTTTCTATCATAAGTACATTTTAAGAAGCTTTGTCCTTACTTAAAAT